CGGGGGGGGATTCACAGCACAGCCCTCTCCAAAATGTGGGTGTGTGGTTTTGCACCCCTGGGTGCCAGGGTGAAATACCATTATTTGTGCCTTGACAGAGGGAAATGGAAGATCCCACTAAATCCATTACATCCATATGGATTCTACAAGAGACAGAGGGCCAGGAGATGTCCAATTTACTAGACCCAAAGATACTCTTCCAGTTCCTTCATACTGAGAAAAGATCAAAGGAGCAGTTGTTAATGGATAGCAAAGTCTGATGTAATTTGTGGCACAGTTATTTGCACCTAGGAAAAAGCAGGCTGGTGTCAGCCCTGCCATGACAAGTCCTTGAGTGTTGCCCTGCCTGCTGGTACACAGGGATCTGCAGGGTCAGTTACTCTGAATCTCTAGGGAACAGGGCCTTTCAGAAACTGCACTCTGAGTCCTAAAGACTTGGGCACCTCCAACTGCAAAGTGTTTCTAAACAGCCACAACAAGCTCTCCCCACGCTCTCGCAGAGTCTGGAAAAGCCTTTTCTCTGGGCACACAAGTGTTTCCCTCTGCTGAGGTGGCTCAGCATGCTTGGAGCATCCCCTGTGCTCCTGGGGATGCCTCTCTCAGCCATTCCTGGAGGGTGTTGGGGCTCCCTCCCAGCCCAGGGGATGGTAAATGCTGAGCAGAGCCAGCAGTGCCTGCCCAGGCCTGACTCTGGCAGGAGGTCCTGCCCTGTCCCAGCCACCTCTGGGAGACCTGGGACTGACCCTCAGCACTCCTCCTCACACAGCCCCAGCAAAGGCATCTCCTGGAGTTCTCCCAGCATGGATGTCCTCTGCTCCAGGCTCTGCCTTCCACCCTCTCAACACTCTCTGGAAACCCAAGCTGTAATTTCCTAAGCTGTGTGACCAATTCTTGCTCTGGTGTCACCACACATCTCCAATTCCCCATGTCACATCTCAGCTGCTTCCCAGCTCCTCCCTGACCTCTCCACTCAACAGGGGGCACAAGCCTGTCATGTTTTGACAAAGGGGTGCCTACAAAACCTCAGCTGCAGCCCTGACTTAAAAAATAGGAGCATAGGAAAAAAATAAGGCAGCCTCAACAAGGCTGAGCACCGGGACCGATCCCCATGCCACCAGGGTTAGGGGTGGCACCCATGGGAGCCCCTGCCTTGGCAGCAGCTCACTCTGAACATGCAACTGAGCCAAGAGAACTGTAACTCTTTCCTTTGTGCTGTCTGAAGGCTGCATCATCCCCCAGAGGCCCTGGGGGAGTTGAAATAAGGATGAACATCAAGTCAGACATGTCTCCGGCTCACAGGCATGCACACATCTGCCTTTCCAAAGAGCCTGGAAGCAGTCACAAGCACAGCCCAGCCCCAAAATCCGCTCTGAATCATGCAGGTGAGGAGGCAGGAGAGCTCCTGGGCCAGCACAGCAGGCTGCAGGGTCTGAGGATGAGGCTCAGAGATGCTCAGACTGAGCTTTCCACTGTCTCTTGCTCAGCTGCCCATGACTGCTGTACCCAGTGGCCAGAGACCCCACGGGGCCCTCAGAGGCACAAGAAACCAAAACATCTCTTCTCCCTCCTCAAAACACCATGTTTATCTGTGCACCAGCTTATGGCTGATCTAAGGGAGTCCATGCCCTTGTGAGTTAAGATTTAAAGTTTTAGCAAAAGCCACTCACTGTTTTGTCTGGGCAAACTGCTGGGAGCACCACCAGCTCAATTTTATGGATAAAAGCCTCTTTTCTTTAAAAACATGGGACCTGTTCTCCCCATGACAGCAAAGTGAGCAGCACGAAGCTTCAGACTGCACAGGACAACAGTTTTCCAGCATTTCTGCCAGACTATGAGGAAAAAACCCACATCCAACAACATCTGCAAAGAGAGTCGGTGTGAAACCCCTAGAGACCAGTGGGCAGAGCAGGTTTCCAGCCCCTTCCAGCAGCTGGGAGCACAGCAAAGGATGCCACCAGTCACTGTACAGGGCATCTGTGTATTGCTTTGCTTTGCTGCCCATTATTATGCACCCCAAGGAAGCACCTGCTGTGCTGTGCTGCCAGCAGCTCCAGGAGAGCAGCCCCAGTGGATCTCTTCCAAGGTGCTCCCATCGACCATGGGGGGACAAAGCAGTGAGGAAGCAGACAAGGAATGTGTGACTTTCCCATCGTGCAGGGACTGCTGGGATTTGCTGGAAGGCATCCAATTAGTTAACGAGCACTCCAGAGCTGACTCTGGTCTGGAATTAGTAATTAATTACCACAAGACAAGCAAGGGTGTCTATACTGGAGAAACCCACGTCTGTCTTAGGGATGGACTTAGAGAAGAGAGTTTGCCCAGCAAACCCACACTGAAGTGAAGTGGAGAGGAGCAGCTGGCAAGCAGGATGATGTGGATCCCGGAAGGAGCAAACATCACAACTGGCCCCATCCTTGACATCCTTTACAGGAACTGGTCCAGCTGGAAGCCCTTGGCCCTGGTTCTCCATGCTAATCCCAGCCCATCACAGGCAGTGAATGCTTTGCTTCTGATGAGCAAAACTGGAGCAATGAAGTGAACAAGACACATCAGCCTGGCTGCCTGCCTCTCCTTCCACCATCCACAAAGACCATAGCTTTGGAAATCCTGGAATAATTCCCTCATATCCATTTCCTTCACTAGTCTTCTGCTCTGGGTTCCTGAGCATGCTCCAGTGGAGGAGGACTCATCAGCTTCCAGGTCTGAGGTGGCTCAGAGGAGCCAGGCTATGCCAGCAGCATCAGCCCTGGGCACCAGCAACCTCCCACCAGGTTCTCCTGGTTGAAAATCAGTGGCTGAGCTCTGGGGAGGAGGAGAATGTGTCCTCCTGAGCACTCACTCCCAGGCCTCACAGCTCCTTGCCCCCATCTGCCTCTCCGGAGCATGTCCCCATGCAGCAGGAGCTGCAGAGCAGCTCTGCATCCAGCCCCTGTGATAAATTAGCCAGGGATTCAGGCATTTCAGCACAGCTGCCTCATCCTGTGCCAGCATGACAATGTGATTAATTTTGGGTGCAGATGAAGCTCATTTGTCAGAGGCACGTGATGGCTGTGCAGGCTGCAGGGGCGTGCGGGGAGCCCCGGGGTGCAGGAGAGTGGGAGCCCAGGCAAAAGGCAGCAGGCAGGGAGGGAGAGGGAAGAGCCAAGCCCGGGGCTCTCCTCTCAGGAAGGCTGTTTGCCACATTGGCTCATGATTAAGCATGCTGGGGAAGAGGAGCCCGTGTGGGAAGAGAGCTTTTATCTCTGCTAACACACATGGCCACGTCTGGGGAGAGATGTGCAACGGGAGGGGTGTAAGAGGATTGGGGAGAAGAAGCCATGAGCTGATTACATTGTGTCAGGAGAGGCAGCTCTACCACCATGGCCACTTCTCCCCCACTGCCCCTTCCACTTTCTCCCCCTTTTGGAGGACCAGTGGGTCCTGTCTTGCCTGTCCCCACTCTGAAGCTATAGACACTTGCTTTTTGTTGCTGGAGGGAGTGTGGCCAGAGCTGTTCCTGCAGGAATTGTCTGGGAAGACAAAGCTATATGTTCACTTCCCAATGGAACACAGCCCTGCCACAGAAAAATCTCTTGATTGGTTCATCACCTTCTTGGCTGGAGTTTCTCCACATGCTGGAATATGGCAGTGCTGCTTCCTCAACACAGCACAGCTCTCCCAAGGGCCTGAGCTGCTCCCAGCTGGGGCTGCCAAGGTCACAAGCAAAGCATCACGGATGAGGAGTCTCTGCACAGTTTAGGAGTGAGGAGCAGCTTTTGGGGTAAGCTCACACCATGCCTGATGCCCTCCAGTGGGATGGATGCACAAGGAGAGGACATCAGGGCAGCTCCCTAGGCACCAGGATCCACAACCTTCCCTTGCCTCATATCTAACCTTGCCATAGTTAGATATGCCCAGACAGTGGTGTCCCTGTTGTAGAACAGCTCTGTCTCAGAGCAAGGTCATGCCAGCAGCACCCCAAAACCCTGAGATCACTGTAACAGTCCTCCCTTCAATAAATTTAGGCCAGAAGTAGTGAACTATTTGCAGCTAAAGAAAAGAAAACCCTTCAAGTTCAATGAGGCCATGCAACTTGGGACATTGGTGGCAAATCCTTGAGCACATGGCTGATGTCAGTGCCTTCCACAGGACCTAATTACCAAACCAGCAGATAGCATCAAGCAAAGAGGCTGCTTTTTTGATAAATTTAAAAAAAAAAAAACACATCAAGAGGACAAAGGTGAAGATGACACAATACATGGTAGCCACACTGACTGCAATACACCTCTGCTAATTTACCTCAGCACAGAGCCAGGACCCTTTCTGCTGGGTTAAAGGTAAGGTTAGAAAACCCCTGGGGACTTTAGAAGTGTGAAAACATCAAACACTGAATGGCACAGGGACTTGAGCCTGTGAAAGCCCAGAAATGTTATCCTGCCACCCACTGGTCCCTCAGCAGAGTCAGCTGGGTGGCAGAGAGGGTGGCCTGAGAGGAGCACATTCCAGGAAAGGTTACAGGTGACAACACTAGCTTGCAGCCAGGACTGCAGCTTCTCACATTCACATTTCTTCCAGGGCCTAAATGCTCCTGAAGCCTGGCTCCTGTGCAAAGGTCCCCAGGCAGGCTGTGCTCTCCTTCCACCCATCAGTTCACCTTCTTATTGGTCCCCTGAAGTCACACCCAGTGGAAATACCTCCCAGCTTTTATTACAATCACCATGCCGATCACCAAAGTTTTCAATTCCCATCCAACAAAGATTACCCAGGAAGGATTAAAGATGCCCACACAGTTTCCCTTCATGGACTATGGGAGGGCACTGATAGACAATCTCAGTGTATTTTCACACACAGGGGAAATAATTCTGGGGTGAAGTGCAGCAGGAACTGGCTCCTCAACAGGGGCACACTCAGGCTCTTCCACCTGCCTGAGGAGCAGTGGTGGTGCCCAGCCCAGTGCCCTTCCAACCCCAGGTGACACTTTCACAACAGACTCAGTGAGGAGAAAGCACAACTGCACTTACCAGAGCTGAAGCCCTACAAGGACCTGCTGGTGAGGCAAGGAACCTGGAAAGGAAGAGAAGAAGAGGTGTGGTTCAGTGGCTGTGGTCAGCAGCAGGGGAGTGCTGGTGTGGCCCAGCCCTGAAGGGGTGGATGGGGCAGCACGTTCAGACAGGGCTGTGGCAGTCACCTACCCTGGCATTGCACCAGGACCATCTAAATTGATCAGGGCCACCTAAATCCACCCAGCCCTGCTTGCCAGCCTCTCCAGGTGCTCAGCTGGTGCTGGCAAAGAGGAATTCACCAAGGGATTAAGGAGCCATTCCCATCATTACCATCGTGGTATGAACACTGGGCTGCCCCATCAGTGTTCCCCTCTCATCAGCTCCTGGAGCACGCCATGCAAATCTGTGCAAAGGAGTCACAACAACGCACCTGGGAAACCATAAATATCTGTGAAAAATCTCCCCATAAATCCACAGGAAGAGGAATTTATGGTGCTTTCTTTGGAGATTTCTCTGGGTATTCCCTATTAAGCCATTGTACTTGTTTGCATAAGTATTCCTCAGACAGTAAAGTCTTCTCTGCCATCAGTTATCAGCTCTGCAAACAGGAGCAGCACCAGGTGTGGGACTCACAAACACCCAGCTGTAAAGATGAGGGACTGGCTCCTCACCTTGTGAAGAAATAAAGGGTATTAATTGCTTAGTGCAACCACAACACACTCCCAGCAAGGACAGGGTGAACTGGCAGCCCTGACATGTACAGAACAACTGAGAAAAGGGAAATGAGCCAAAAAACTCTCTGTATGCTCTCAGGGTGTGCCACACAATGGCAAAGCTATGGAAAGAACAAGGATTTTTCACATCATTGGGGGGGAAAGCATCAAGGGGAGAAGAAATACACAAGTGCTGGAATCAGCTCCAGCTACTCAGAGAAATTGCTGTAATACATTGTCCAGCCACAAACCAAGGCCACTACAGAAATTAAGGAAGGAAGTGCCTTGCCTGATATAGCAGCAATGAATACATTTGTTAGTGATAACACATCAGTTACCAGGCTGGGTAGAAGCCTTTCCCACAAGAAAGGCTGACACAGGGCTTTATTAAAGAAGGTAATACCCAGTTAAGACACCTACTGATCTCATCTGATGAATGGTTGACACAATACATCATATATATGCAGGAGGGGTTTGAAAATAACAGAATAAGCTGAATGGTATCAGCCCACACATCTAGAAATACAGGTCCATTATATACAACCTGGAGATGACATTTTAATTAACATGTTCTCATGAAAATACAAAGTGGAACCCAAGTGGGAAGCACCATATACCATCTTACTATGTTCCTATTTTGCTGTTAAAAGTTTAGGAAAAGAAAGATGGATACACCATTCTCCCATCAAGCAGGTGGTAACTAGCCAGCCAGCTGACAAATGACTGACTCCTGGAAAAACTCTCACATCAGCTAAGAATGAATGGGGCATCTCACTGCTCTTGGTATTATTGACTCTGTTACTGCTACGGCATAGCTAAGGATAAAAATGATGGATGATCCGGATTAGTGGAAAGTTAACAAATCCAAAGGGAAGATAGTTTTCCTAGATTATATAGGAGCAAGGTTCCCAATTCCTGAAACACCTGACAGGAAGGCTCTTGCTTTCTGGTGTCCATCAGATAAGGTTTATAATTTAACTGGGCAGACGTAAGCAGAAGGACAGGTCTCATTGCCTTGATAATACCAGCTGCTGCTCAAGACTTAATGCCAGTTGTTGTGTGATGACAGATAATAGTTTAAGAAGTAATAGTATACAATTAACATCACTTGTGAAATGTTGACCCAGGAGTGATTACCCTTTCCCTGCTCATCCCCCTTCAAAGCAAACAGGGAGGGAAGCAGCCAGTATTACAGGGACAGGATTGGGAGCCCTAAACGGTATAGATGTTGAAGTGCTCCTAAGTAAACTAAGTGCAACAACAAGTGATTTAAGCATATTAGAGCACCCATTGCAATCCTCTCTATTAGCACTGGGGACTAATCAATGGCTCTTGTCTGATATATTGCCTCTGTGGGAGAAAATTAATGAGAAAGACCACCAGCTGATTGGAGAGGCACTTGGAATAGTCCAGGGCAATCTTTCACTAGCTCTTAAAGGTACCCACACTCAACTGTGGATGCACTCCACACTGGCAGAAATTACAAGGGTAGGCAAACACAGCACCTTACCCACAGAGGTTTGAAAAGTAGCTTGGGACAGAACAACTGGAAGAGAATTTCGATCCTGGTGGTATTTGGCCAATTTGACCCCACTAACAACAAGGTCACAGATTCTGTCTTAATAATAATATGCTTCAATATACAGCACATAGCCAATTGCTGCACTAAATCACAATACAATCATCCTCTTTCCCATAGAACATTAGAGTATGGACACCACAGAATGGACACAAGGGGCAAACAGTACATGGGAACAACAAGGATTCAACTGTAACAGCCTCAAAGCCCAAAACACATCTTGACACTGAGTAAAATGTTTGTCATTTTGAAACACAGGCTGATGAAATCCCTGCAACTGCACTTATATATATTGGAAAAGGATATGTTTTCTTAAGGGCCCTTTGTGGTTTGATATTAGGAGGTGATACTATTGCAGATACAAGTAATCATTTGAATGTTTGCATTCGTAACTTTAGTGGAATTATAGGGTATGATTTTAATTATACAGCTCCTGTTACGTCCTGCCAGTTGTTACAGTCTAATTATACACTAGTTAAAGACTTGTTACCTACTTCAACTGGAATTAATCTTAATGCTGGTAAGAAAATTATCACAACATGATGACTTACATCAAGTATTAAAACAAGTATGAATTGATAAAAAGAAACTATCATCACTGTCCACCATAATGGAGATGAAATGTGTTCTGTGCTCAAAAGAGGAAAAAGAGATGGAGAACACACTGGTGGGAAACTCTCCCAGGGTGGTCACCTACAGCCACAGGAATTCATAACCTCCTGCTCCACCCAGTGGTAATTGTACTAGCTTTGAGTCTATTAGGTCTGGTGCTTGTGATCATTCTGTATATAAGATTATGGAAGCTGATCATGCTTTTTGAAAGGCTTTGCAAGCTTTGCTAAATGTATTAGCAGGGATGCTTAATAAAAACAAAGGGAGGGCTGTAAAGAAGTAAAGGATATTAATTGCTTAGCATAACTTGCTTAGCATTAGTAGCTAAGATGTGCTGAAGCTTTAGGCCCCACTTTGAGCAGATTTCACCCTGCACAGCTTCTGCAAGGCTGCCTGGGTTAATTGCCAGGAGAGCAGGTTGTGTTTCAGCTATGACATTTCTCTGCATGTTTAACGTATCCCTATCATGGTTCCAATGTACTTCTGCATAGATGGGTGGGAGATGGGGCAAAATGAATAACAGGTTTTCTTTCAGCATGAAATTGTGAGAGTGTCCTCCACTGAGTGCAATTACTGTGTATGTAACTTCTGTAGGCTGGCTAATACTGCTAAGTATACTGGAGATTAAGGGATTTGGGGCTGTAAAGTCCATTTCATCCATCCAGGCCTGAGCAAGGCAATGAGGGCAGGGAAAAAGTCTTGCAGAAACCACTGGACCAAGCAGGGTCTGGCCTGCAAGTTCCAACCCCCCACATGCCCTTGCTGCTCTCAGACCTGTCCCAGGCAGCTCTGGGCTCTGTGGGGGACATGAAGGAGGGTGAATGCAGATGCCAGGGCCAAAGCACCTGCAGGCACATCCCAGGTCTGACCCCTCCCCAGTGGCTACCAAACCCAGCAAAGCCCATCAAGGACACTCCTGAGCCTATGCCAAGCACTGCTGTCATGTTCCTGGATGGCTGAGCCCTCCCCTGGGTGGCACGTCAAGGACACAGGGGAAGAGCAAAGGACTTAAGCAGCCATGGTGCTGCTTCTGAGAGTGCTCAGGAGGCACAGAAGAGCTGTTATCCCTGAGCCAGAGACCTGATAACAACACTGGAGCATTTCTGCTTTGGCCCTGCCCCATGGAGAGGGAAGTTGCAGTGTTTCCCATGGGGCTGGACTGTGCTGGACTGTGCTGCCAGTCCCCAGCCCTGCTGCACCTTGGCTCCTCATCAGGGACTGACCCTGGGGGGGGTGCAGGCTGAGCTAATGGGGGGAATACCCTACCCCGGTGCTAGAAAAAAGGAAGCCTCAAAAATAACTCTCCTACAGAGCCAGCATCCTGCCCAGGCCCTGCCTCCACTGCTGCCCAGAGGGGAAGCCATGGCAATCTCCCCCCAGTTCTTCTAAGCCAATGGAATATGAAGCAGAGCAAATACTGGGTTGTTGTGAGGACACTGAGGAGTGAAGCAGAGCAAGGAGAGAGCTTTGAGTAGTAAAAGCTGCCCTTATGTTATGAGCTCAGACACAGCCTTGTGCATCCCCAAGCAGCAGAGGAGCCATCTCCACTTTGATCTGAGTTTGATTTAAAATGGAGCATCTCCCTCAGCATCACCCACGGGGCAGCAGTGCAGCAACCTCATTTTCCTCTGCTTTATCCCTTTTGCCACCTGCTGTGTGCCCAAGGTCCCAGGGCCACAAACTCTGGCTCCCTGCACTCCCTGGCCATGATGTTCTGGGGCACAGCCCTCAGCTGTGGGTGCATCCTGCTCCCTCTCTGCTCTGGGGTGGGGATGGGCCAGCACAGAGCCAGGGAAATGAGAACCTGCTGGGGCATAATGCCAATTCAACGCCCATTAACTTCCCACAAATCCTCCCTTCCATGCCCTTATCTTCCTCTGCCACATCCCCTTGCTCCCCCTCCTCCTCCTCCTCCCAAGCTAATGGTCCTTGTGGATGTGCAGACAAGCTGTGCAGGTACTCTTGGCTGTGCCTGGGAGCCTTTCAGGGGCAGTATCTGCAGGAAGGTCTGATAGGAGACATCCCTGACACCCCTTGGTGACACCCCAGGCACCCACAGGCCATGGGATGGCCCCACACAGCACAGCTCATGGCCAAATGCTCTCCTGCTCTTGCAGACTGAATATCAGGCTCTGAACATTAACTTTTACAGCATGA